AGAGAGAGAGGGAGAGAGAGAGAGAGAGAGAGAGAGAGAGAGCGGTGGGAGAGAGAGAGAGAGAGCGGTGAGAGAGAGAGAAGAGAGAGGGAGAGAGAAGAGAGAGAGAGAGAGAGAGAGAGAGAGAGAGAGAGAGAGAGAGAGAGAGAGAGAGAGAGAGAGAGAGAGAGAGAGAGAGAGGGAGGGAGGGTGAGAAGAGAGAGAGAGAGAGAGAGAGAGAAGAGAGAGAGAGAGAGAGAGAGAGAGAGAGAGAGAGAGAGAGAGAGAGAGAGAGAGGAGGAGAGGAAGAGAGGGAGAGAGAGAGAGAGAGAGAGAGAGAGAGAGAGAGAGAGAGAGAGAAGAGAGAGAGAGAGAGAGAGAGAGGAGAGAGAGAGAGAGGAGAGAGAGAGAGAGGCGAGAGAGAGAGAGAGAGAGAGAGAGAGAGAGAGAGAGAGAGAGAGAGAGAGAGAGAGAGAGAGAGAGAGAGAGAGAGAAGAGAGAGAGAGAGAGAGAGAGAGAGAGAGAGAGAGAGAGTGAGAGTGAGTGTGAGAGAGTGAGTGAGTGAGTCAACCGTTCACACACACATGCATACGTGGTATGTACTGTGTGTATGTGGATATATACGTCTGTGTGTGTGTGGCCGACCATTCGCTTCCTTCACGGGTCAAGTGCCTCGTTGCAGAGGAAAGCCTCTCCTAGTCTTCTCCTTCGACCTTTCTCTGGTCTACACTTCTCCCAGGGATTAAACCCTTCACTCTGTTTCTGTCTTCCTGCCATCCCCTTTTTATCACGCTTAATCTCGCTTATGTTACGAAGATATCTGAATGTGGAACTCGAATTCTTAAGGTAGTCACTTCCCCCAAGACACAGGTTCATACTGCCTCTACTTGCTTCACTAACCATTTTGATTATACATATTTGAAAAGTTTTCCATTCGTGGCTATCAGAATAACAGACATCTTACCAGCCACATCTAGAAAACTACGCCGATATCCTGTTGTTTCTTTTATCCATAAAAAGGATAATCAATGGCAGCTCAAACAATATATAACTCGGCCGTCTCGTCCATTTTCCGCTTCCCTTTCCTTTCCATGGGAACATTGATCTCACCAGGACGCTACA